ATAATGATGTAGAGCACATTAAAAACCTGTTCATAATGATGTAGAGCACATTAAAAACCTGTTCGTAATGATGTAGAGCACATTAAAAACCTGTTCATAATGATGTAGAGCACATTAAAAACCTGTTCATAAAGATGTAGAGCACATTAAAAACCTGTTGGTAATGATGTAGAGCACATAAAAACCTGTTGGTAATGATGTAGAGCACATTAAAAACCTGTTCGTAATGATGTAGAGCACATAAAAACCTGTTCATAATGATGTAGAGCACATTAAAAACCTGTTCGTAATGATGTAGAGCACATTAAAAACCTGTTCATAATGATGTAGAGCACATAAAAACCTGTTCATAATAAAATGTAGAGCACATTAAAAACCTGTTCATAATGATGTAGAGCACATTAAAAACCTGTTCATAATGATGTAGAGCACATTAAAAACCTGTTCATAATGATGTAGAGCACATTAAGAACCTGTTCATAATGATGTAGAGCACATTAAGAACCTGTTGGTAATGATGTAGAGCACATTAAAAACCTGTTCGTAATGATGTAGAGCACATAAAAACCTGTTCATAATGATGTAGAGCACATAAAAACCTGTTGGTAATGATGTAGAGCACATAAAAACCTGTTCGTAATGATGTAGAGCACATTAAAAACCTGTTCGTAATGATGTAGAGCACATAAAAACCTGTTCATAATGATGTAGAGCACATTAAAAACCTGTTCGTAATGATGTAGAGCACATTAAGAACCTGTTGGTAATGATGTAGAGCACATTAAAAACCTGTTCATAATGATGTAGAGCACATTAAAAACCTGTTGGTAATGATGTAGAGCACATTAAAAACCTGTTCATAATGATGTAGAGCACATTAAAAACCTGTTGGTAATGATGTAGAGCACATTAAAAACCTGTTGGTAATGATGTAGAGCACATTAAAAACCTGTTCATAATGATGTAGAGCACATAAAAACCTGTTGGTAATGATGTAGAGCACATAAAAACCTGTTGGTAATGATGTAGAGCACATTAAAAACCTGTTGGTAATGATGTAGAGCACATTAAAAACCTGTTGGTAATGATGTAGAGCACATTAAAAACCTGTTCATAATGATGTAGAACACATTAAAAACCTGTTCGTAATGATGTAGAGCACATTAAAAACCTGTTCATAATTATGTAGAGCACATTAAAAACCTGTTCATAATGATGTAGAGCACATTAAAAACCTGTTCGTAATGATGTAGAGCACATTAAAAACCTGTTCATAATGATGTAGAACACATTAAAAACCTGTTCATAATGATGTAGAGCACATAAAAACCTGTTCATAATAATGTAGAGCACATTAAAAACCTGTTCATAATAATGTAGAGCACATAAAAACCTGTTCATAATGATGTAGAGCACATTAAAAACCTGTTCATAATGATGTAGAGCACATAAAAACCTGTTGGTAATGATGTAGAGCACATTAAAAACCTGTTCATAATGATGTAGAGCACATTAAAAACCTGTTGGTAATGATGTAGAGCACATTAAAAACCTGTTCGTAATGATGTAGAGCACATTAAAAACCTGTTCGTAATGATGTAGAGCACATTAAAAACCTGTTCATAATGATGTAGAGCACATTAAAAACCTGTTGGTAATGATGTAGAGCACATAAAAACCTGTTCATAATGATGTAGAGCACATTAAAAACCTGTTCATAATGATGTAGAGCACATAAAAACCTGTTGGTAATGATGTAGAGCACATAAAAACCTGTTGGTAATGATGTAGAGCACATTAAAAACCTGTTGGTAATGATGTAGAGCACATTAAAAACCTGTTGGTAATGATGTAGAGCACATTAAAAACCTGTTCATAATGATGTAGAACACATTAAAAACCTGTTCGTAATGATGTAGAGCACATTAAAAACCTGTTCATAATTATGTAGAGCACATTAAAAACCTGTTCTAATGATGTAGAGCACATTAAAAACCTGTTCGTAATGATGTAGAGCACATTAAAAACCTGTTCATAATGATGTAGAACACATTAAAAACCTGTTCATAATGATGTAGAGCACATAAAAACCTGTTCATAATAATGTAGAGCACATTAAAAACCTGTTCATAATGATGTAGAGCACATTAAAAACCTGTTCATAATGATGTAGAGCACATAAAAACCTGTTGGTAATGATGTAGAGCACATTAAAAACCTGTTCATAATGATGTAGAGCACATTAAAAACCTGTTGGTAATGATGTAGAGCACATTAAAAACCTGTTCGTAATGATGTAGAGCACATTAAAAACCTGTTCGTAATGATGTAGAGCACATTAAAAACCTGTTCATAATGATGTAGAGCACATTAAAAACCTGTTGGTAATGATGTAGAGCACATAAAAACCTGTTCATAATGATGTAGAGCACATTAAAAACCTGTTGGTAATGATGTAGAGCACATTAAAAACCTGTTCATAATGATGTAGAGCACATAAAAAGTACTGTAACTTTGCTTTGCTTCCCATTTTTAACTCTCTCTATGTTTTGGGCACAAAAAGTATCGCGATAAACAGCAAATGTGCCCGCTCTGGTCTTGGCACATGCACTTTAGTTAACAGCCCGCAGACAGAGGGTAGGTTACATGAGTGGTGCAGTGGTCTAAGGCTGTGCTACTAGAGATCCTGGTTTGAATCCAGGCTCTGTCGTATCCGGCCGCGACCGGGAGACCCATGGGGTGGCGCACAATTGGCCCAGCGTCGTCCAGGTTAGGGGAGGGAATGGCCGGCAGGGATGTAGCTCAGTTGGTAGAGCATGGCGTTTGCAACGCCAGGGTTGTGGGTTTGATTCCCACGGGGGGGCCATTAAAAAATAAAAATAATGTATGCACTCACTAACTGTAAGTCACTCTGGATGAGAGTGTCTGCTGAATGATTAAAATGTATGATGAGATGATGGATAAGAGACTAAGAGTGAGATAATTGAGACCCTCAATATTTATTGGAAAGAAGCGTCAAGCTCATCACTGTGCACTTTCACCACCCTGTGAAGTCCACCATAATCTATTTCCTCTGTAGCCTGCTGTGCTTTTCCAAGTCGTAATGGGAGGATCAGACAACATAGCATCACGTCACTGGTCATTTATTGTGACATGATAGTTCATTTACCAACAATTAAGCAAAAAATATTTTCCACTGCCGTTTGTCGAATTATCTACTAACCGACAAAAGATTATCCACCCCTATCGAATGTATTTTGTTTTGTCAACATTTAGGAAAGCTTACCGACAATTTCTTGTTTCCATCAGGCCTGTCATTAGTTATTGATCCGAGATGGAGGCCTATTTTACTGGTTGAATGGAAACATGGTTAATGTGCCAAATAATCCTGTAAGGGATTGTTCGCCAATAGGCGATTTGGCATGTAAATAAAACATTATTCATTCATTAATTCATTCATTTATTCACGATTTCATTCATCACTCCCAGTGTTTAAGCTAGAACACTAAAACATCTTTAGCTAAAACACTCCAGCACTCAGAATAATCAGTGGATCTGTCAGTCATTACTTAGTGTGTGTTGCTGGGAAAGCCTTGTCCATCACTCATCATTACTTGTGTATTTACGACAGTGGGGGAGAGGCTATATGGGATACCTGGGAAGGCTAGGGCAGGTACGATGTCAGAAGGGAGAGCACAGAAATCAACAGTGCTTTTATCGATTACTCCTTCTGATTGAAAAAATAGCTGATTTACAACAACATTCATTGTCTGGCCAGGGGAGCGGACTGGTGGCACGTCATGTCACTTCCCGAGTGGCGCAGTGGTCTAAGGCACTGCATCGCAGTGCTAGCTGTGTCGCTAGAGATCCTGGTTCGAATCCAGGCTCTGTCGCAGCCGGCCGCGACCGGGAGACCCATGGGTGGTGCACAATTGGTCCAGCGTTGTCCAAGGTAGGGGAGGGTTTGGCCGGCAGGGATGTGGGTTCGTTTCCCACAGGGGGCCAGTATGAAAAAAAACAAAAAAACATGTATGCATTCACTAACTGTAAGTCGCTCTGGAGAAGAGCGTCTGCTAAATAATGTAATGTACTATTGCCTTCAAGTCAACTGTCATTCCCGTATGGTCAGTTATTTTATGATTTGACACTACAACTATTCTTTGTATGTTGTAGATCAGCATTTACAGATATCTCTCTCTGTCTCTGTCTCTGTCTCTCTGTCTCGTCTCTGTCTCTCTCTCTCTCTCTCTCTCTCTCTAGGAGCGATAGATGCAGGGGCTATTCTCGATGGATCTTCTATCCTCTCTCTCTCTCTATCATCTCTTGCCTCTCTATCTGATCTCTCTCCTCTCTCTAGTCATATCTCTCCTCTATCTCTCTTCTCTCTCTCTCTCTCTACTCTCTCTCTCTCTCTCTCCTCTCTCTCTCTCTCTCTCTCCTCTCTCCTTCTCTCTCTCTCTCTCTCTCTCTCTCTCTCTCTCTCTCTCTCTCTCTCTCTCAGAGGGGAGAGACATTTCTGATAATTAAATTTACAAGGGCACCGCGACACTGAGTGCACACTGTTTTAAATGACACCCATGACACTCCTCTCCTCATACACAGTCAGCAGGACAAACAAAGCTGATGACACCCTTGACGCTCCTCTCCTCGTACACAGTCAGCAGAACAAACAAAGGCCCCTGTAATGCAGTTTGGGTAGACAGAAAAAACTCCCGAGATACGCCTGTGATTCAGAGAAGTGTCGGCACACCAGGCGGTTATGTCCCAGCCTCTCTAATGCAATAGCAACATCATAACACCACATCGAATCACAGGCAAGCAGGGGTGACGAAGGAATCGACTCATTATCCATCCTTTGTGAGCCTCTCTCTCTCTCCCTCCCTCTCCCCTCTCTCTGTTATTTTATTTAGCTGTGCATTCAGCGTATCCATTAGAGGGTTATATTACAATATCCAGTAAAATAACCATTTAGATACGACAGCTCTGCTGAGCTCCACACTATGGACGGACCACAGAGTGAGCTCCACACTATGGACGAACCACCGAGTGAGCACTACACTATGGACGGACCACAGAGTGCTTTCAGGGCAGATTGCAGCCGCCCGAAGACAGCCCCCCTCTGTGATGTAGATCAACACCTGATAAAAGGCTAATTAAGATGAAAAATATCTGCCTTCACTGCAACCTCCCCCAGATCGACACATCCTTCTTGACTTGGAGCTGTTCACAGGAAGGATCAAACTTCTTGAACTCCACTTGTATTTATTGTGATCATGTGACAATATACTGTAGGTTAAGACAGCATGAGACTGAAGGGTCTTGGGTGAGATTATCCATATTTAAGGGTCTTGGGTGAGATTATCCATATCTTGTGGTGTCAGAAGATAGCTGAGAGGAAATTGGAGGGCATAGAAAGCTTGAAAACCTCCCCTACGTGGCTGTCCATGACAATGGTGAAGGTATGATTGAATACTAAGAGAGACACTAGCCTGGTATAGGCTGTGTATTGCTTAGAAAAGCCACTGAGAAAGTTGGGTTGAACATTCCTCTTCTTCTTGAGAGTGAAACTGACTAAGGCTGGGAAGTGTTGTGATGATGAGTCAGCGGACAGGGCACGATGCTATCAACAGATTATCACACTTCCTGATTTACCACAAGCGTAGTCTCTCTCTCTGCCAGGCATCCCACTCAAATCTAGAACGTGCTGGCTGGGGTCGAGGCTATGGGGGCAGCATAGAAGGAATGATGTAGTGAACCGAAACTAACCAGGTGTTCTCTCCCACAGGTGGAGGTTCTGGATGGCAGGACAAGGCAACAGCTGTGTTTTCTAGATAAGGTACAGCATTTGGCTATCTGGTTACCTGATCACAATATGGACACTCCAATCAGAAATTATTCTGATTGAGCTTGAAATCCTCTAGTCAATATTCTTGCGTATTGACGTATTTGGTCTTTATTTCCAGGTGGAGCCCCACGCCACAATAGGTGAAATCAAGAGTCTTCTTCACAAGTCATGTAAGTATTGATATGTCGTTAGTAATTATCCTATAATTGATAAACCGGTCATGATAGAATCTCTAGTATCAATAACTTCATAAAAGGTTAAAAAATATATATATCACCTTTGAAAATATATCGGCTGTACAGTGTGTGCTCAACTTGATCTATGTGATCAACAGATTTTTTTTCTGATCAATTAAACTGTGAGAGAGCTAGTCGGATGAATCTAAAATATCCCATCAGATAAAAACAGTTCAGTGTGTGAAGTTTGGAACGGTTGTACTCTTCACCTGAAGTCTACTCCATTGTGATGAATTACTGCCATAGGCCCGAAACTAAACTCTGTGTGTTTGTGTTTGTGTTTGTGTGTGCGTCAGATCAACAGCTGTATCCAGCCAGACAGGACCTCAAGCTTGACCCCAGTAAGTAAATAACGTGTTTATGATTACTGGTACTGTTAGTGTTGCTGAAGTGTATTTTTGTTGTTGATGTTTATTGTCACATACACCAAATACACTATGTGTACACACGTATGTGGACGCCCCTTCAAATTAGTGGATTCGGCTATTTCAGCCACACCCGTTGCTGACAGGTGTATCAGCTTTCTGCCCTGCTAGAGCTGCCCCCCGGGGTCAACTGTAAGTGCTGTTAACGTGAAGTGGAAACGTCTAGGAGCAACAGCGGCTCAACCGCGAAGTGGTAGGCCACACAAGCTCACAGAACGGGACCGCCGAGTGCTGAAGCGCGTAGCACGTAAAAATAATCTGTCCTCGGTTGCAACACTCACTATCGAGTTCCAAACTGCCTCTGGAAGCAAAGTCAGCACAATAATTGTTAGTCGGGAGCTTCATGAAATGGGTTTCCATGGCCGAGCAGCCGCACACAAGCCTAAGATCACCATGCGCAATGCTAAGCATTGGCTGGAGTGGTGTAAAGCTCGCCGCCATTGGACTCTGGAGCAGTGGAAACGCGTTCTCTGGAGTGATGAATCACGCTTCACCATCTAGCAGTCCGATGGACGAATCTGGGTTTGGTGGATGCCAGGAGAACGCTACCTGCCACAATGCATAGTGCCAACTGTAAAGTTTGGTGGAAGAGGAATAATTTTTTCATGGTTTTTTATTTATTTTTTATTTAACCTTTATTTAACCAGGTAAGCCAGTTGAGAACAAGTTCTCATTTACAACTGCGACCTGGCCAAGATAAAGCAAAGCAGTGCGATAAAAACAACAACAACACAGAGTTACATATGGAATAAACAAAACGTACAGTCAATAACACAATAGAAAAATCTATATACAGTGTGTGTAAATGTAGTAAGTTATGGAGGTAAGGCAATAAATAGGCCATAGTGCAAAATAATTACAATTGAGTATTAACACTGGAATGCTAGATGTGCAAGAGATGATGTGCAAATAGAGATACTGGGGTGCAAATGAGCAAAATATATAACAATATGGGGATGAGGTAGTTGAGTGGGCTAATTACAGATGGTCTGTGTACAGGTGCAGTGATCGGTAAGCTGCTCTGACAACTGATGCTTAAAGTTAGTGAGGGAGATAAGAGTCTCCAGCTTCAGAGATTTAGTGATTCTAGTCGGGCGGGCGGGTGCAAGCAGCGTTCTATTGAAGAGCATGCATTTAGTTTTACTAGCGTTTAAGAGCAGTTGGAGGCCACGGAAGGAGTGCTGTATGGCATTGAAGCTCGTTTGGAGGTTTGTTAACACAGTGTCCAATGAAGGGCCAGATGTATACAAAATGGTGTCGTCTGCGTAGAGGTGGATCTGAGAGTCACCAGCAGCAAGAGCCACATCATTGATATACACAGAGAATAGAGTCCGCCCGATAACTGAACCCTGTGGCACCCCCATAGAGACTGCCAGAGGTCCAGACAACAGGCCCCCCAATTTGACACATTGAACTCTATCTGAGAAGTAGTTGGTGAACCAGGCGAGTCAGTCATTTGAGAAACCAAGGCTATTTAGTCTGCCAATAAGAATGCGTTGATTGACAGAGTCGAAAGCCTTGGCCAAGTCGATGAAGACGGCTGAACAGTACTTTAGGACCATGAGCGTGGCTGAGGTGCACCCATGACCAGCTCGGAAACCAGATTGCATAGCGGAGAAGGTACGGTGGGATTCAAAATGGTCGGTGATATGTTTGCTAGGCCCCTTAGTTCCAGCGAAGGGAAATCTTAACGCTACAGCATACAATGACATTCTAGACGAGTCTGTGCTTCCAACTTTGTGGCAACAGTTTGGGGAAGGCCCTTTCCTGTTTCAACATGACAATGGAAGAACTTGACTGGCCTGCTCAGATCCCTGAATTCAACCGCTTCGTACACCTTTGGGATGAATTGGAACGCCGACTGCGAGCCAGGCCTAATCAGCCAACATCAGTGCCTGACCTCACTAATGCTCTTGTGGCTGAATGGAAGCAAGTCCCCGCAGCAATGTTCCAACATCTAGTGGAAAGCCTTCCCAGAAGAGTGGAGGCTGTTATAGCAGCAAAGGGGGGACCAACTCCATATTAATTGTTGGTGCTGGAGAAAATGTTTGACATTTCCATATAAGTGCCTCGCTGAAGCTCACATCGACCAATTCTTCACCTTGTCGGCGCAAGTATTCAAACCAGCTAGGGGATTCGAACCAGCGACCTTTCGGTTACTGGCCCAATTATCTAACCACTAGGCTATCTGCTAACGTACTGAAGTGTTCCTGGAGTGTTGAGTTAATCAGCTTCACATCCTCATTTGTTTTGAAACATTTTAATTGGAATACTTTCAATATTTAATACAATATAATGTACGAAGTTCACAAGCTAAACGGCTAATATATTCTCTGTTGTCCCCGATGTCAACATGAGATGAGGTGATTGGGTTGTAAACTAGCATGTACACTCTTAAAGACATGCTCCAGTACTTAGGCAACTAAGAAAATATTTCTTAAACCGCTTTGGGCTGAATGTGTTCAAAATGCATTATACACTGCTCAAAAAAATAAAGGGAACACTTAAACAACACAATGTAACTCCAAGTCAATCACACTTCTGTTAAATCAAACTGTCCACTTAGGAAGCAACACTGATTGACAATACATTTCACATATTGTTCTGCAAATGGAATAGACAACAGGTGGAAATTATAGGCAATTAGCAAGACACCCCCAATAAAGGACCACTTCTCAGTTCCTATGCTTCCTGGCTGATGTTTTGGTCACTTTTGAATGCTGGCGGTGCTTTCACTCTAGTGGTAGCATGAGACGGAGTCTACAACCCACACAAGTGGCTCAGGTAGTGCAGCTCATCCAGGATGGCACATCAATGCGAGCTGTGGCAAGAAGGTTTGCTGTGTCTGTCAGCGTAGTGTCCAGAGCATGGAGGCGCTACCAGGAGACAGGCCAGTACATCAGGAGATGTGGAGGAGGCCGTAGGAGGGCAACAACCCAGCAGCAGGACTGCTAACTCAGCCTTTGTGCAAGGAGGAGCAGGAGGAGCACTGCCAGAGCCCTGCAAAATGACCTCCAGCAGGCCACAAATGTGCATGTGTCTGCTCAAACGGTCAGAAACAGACTCCATGAGGGGGGTATGAGGGCCCGACGTTCACAGGTGGAGGTTGTGCTTACAGCCCAACACCGTGCAGGACGTTTGGCATTTGCCAGAGAACACCAAGATTGGCAAATTCGCTCTTCACAGATGAAAGCAGGTTCACACTGAGCACATGTGACAGACGTGACAGAGTCTGGAGACGCCGTGGAGAACGTTCTGCTGCCTGCAACATCTTCCAGCATGACCGGTTTGGTGGTGGGTCAGTCATGGTGTGGGGTGGCATTTCTTTGGGGGGCCGCACAGCCCTCCATGTGCTCGCCAGAGGTAGCCTGACTGCCATTAGGTACCGAGATGAGATCCTCAGACCCCTTGTGAGACCATATGCTGGTGCGGTTGGCCCTGGGTTCCTCCTAATGCAAGACAATGCTAGACCTCATGTGGCTGGAGTGTGTCAGCAATTCCTGCAAGAGGAAGGCATTGATGCTATGGACTGGCCCGCCCGTTCCCCAGACCTGAATCCAATTGAGCACATCTGGGACATCATGTCTCGCTCCATCCACCAACGCCACGTTGCACCACAGACTGTCCAGGAGTTGGCGGATGCTTTAGTCCAGGTCTGGGAAGAGATCCCTCAGGAGACCATCCGTCACCTCATCAGGAGCATGCCCAGGCGTTGTAGGGAGGTCATACAGGCACGTGGAGGCCACACACACTACTGAGCCTCATTTTGACTTGTTTTAAGGACATTACATCAAAGTTGGATCAGCCTGTAGTGTGGTTTTCCACTTTAATTTTGAGGGTGACTCCAAATCCAGACCTCCATGGGTTGATACATTTGATTTCCATTGATAATTTTTGTGTGATTTTGTTGTCAGCACATTCAACTATGTAAAGAAAAAAGTATTTAATAAGATTATTTCATTCATTCAGATCTAGGATGTGTTATTCTAGTGTTCCCTTAATTTTTTTGAGCAGTGTATATTAACAGAATTACTTTCTTACCTCAATTAGCCACAAAATCCCTAGTTTGAAAGCGACTGTTTTCTGGAAGCTGTGCCATACCATTTCCCCCCACGTGGACCAGCTCCCTAGCAATTCAAGTTCTAGCCAATGAGCTTCTACATTTAAGTGATTTAGCAGACGCTCTTATCCAGAAAGACCTACAGGAGCAATTAGGGATAAGTGCCTTGCTCAAGGGCACATCAACAGATTTTTCACCTAGGGGATTCGAACCAGCGACCTTTCGGTTACTGGCCCAACGCTCTTAACCGATAGGCTACCTGCCACCACATTTGAGTGAAAGCTAGAGGTCTGCCCAGCATTATCCCATGAGGTTGCACGGTGGGCCCATCTGCTCACACAGCAGAGAGAGAGAGAGAGCAATGACATGGTGCACATATCTGCACATATGTGACATAGTATGCATTTTTCGGGGACCACTTTTGGCTCTTGAGTGCTTGTTACTGAAGGGGAAAGGCCTACAGTTATGCAATCTCATTTAGCAGAAACTAAATGGGTCAATATCTACCCCGTTGAGCTTACACTAAAATTACTTTCAATTATTCCTCAACAGAAACAGGTTAGGAGTAAGGTCACCTTGAGCTTCTAGGACAAGAGAACAGGAAACATTGATTGGTTCTAATAAAGAAATCCATAGAATCCATGACATTTACATGGAAAAGGAATTCCTTGGTCTGTTTGAATAGGAGCAGGTCAACTAATCTCTGCATTTTCTTTCTACATCTTGTTTTTTAAAATCTTTTTTCAGAAGGAAAATCACTTAAGGACGACGATGTATTACAAAACCTACCCGTTGGGCCCACAGCAACCATGTATTTTAGGGACCTGGGCCCACAGATCGGGTGGACAATGGTAAGAACCAATGACAGTACAGTACTATAGATTCAAACTGCAGTCCCCCATTGGACTCTTATGGACTTTCACATTTTGACAAGAGCCTCTTCCTGTTTATTTGACATACGTACTGAATACATCTTACACACCCTCTTCTTCTGTTGGCAGGTGTTTTTAGCGGAGTACATTGGCCCCCTGTTTATCTACCTCCTGTTCTATTTCCGAGTTCCGTACATCTACTCACACCGGGATGCCTTCACCTCCAGCCCCTACTCGGTGGTCACGTAAGTCAGTCACTAATGCAACCGATAATATACTGATTGGTTTCAGATGGGATCCCATCTAACATTCATCTGTCTCTCTCTTTCTCTGCCTCCATCCGACCTCCCCTTCTCTCCATCCAACCTCCCCTTCTCTCCATCCGAACTCCCCTTCTCTCCATCCGACCTCCCCTTCTCTCCATCCAACCTCCCCTTCTCTCCATCCAACCTCCCCTTCTCTCCATCCGACCTCCCCTTCTCTCCATCCGACCTCCCCTTCTCTCCATCCGACCTCCCCTTCTCTCCATCCGACCTCCCCTTCTCTCCATCCAACCTCCCCTTCTCTCCATCCAACCTCCCCTTCTCTCCATCCAACCTCCCCTTCTCTCCATCCAACCTCCCCTTCTCTCTTCCTCACCTGACTATCTGTCACTGTCTCTCTCTCTTTCTCATGCTTTCTCTTTTTCACTCTCTGTCTTTCCTTCTCTCTCTTATATATATATATATATACTGTATATCTGTCACTGTCTCTCTCTATATATATACTGTATATCTGTCTCTCTCTCTCTATATATATATATATACTGTATATCTGTCTCTCTCTCTCTCTCTCTCCTTCTCTCCTTCTCTCTCCTTCAGACTAGCCTGTGCCTGTCACACCTGCCACTACATCAAGAGGTTGATTGAGACTATCTTTGTGCACCGGTTCTCCCGTGGTACCATGCCTCTCAGGACTATAGTCAGGGTACGGACTGCATCTGCTCCAGAACACTGTTCCACTCTCACTCGGGCTACTGTACTTCAAGGCCATGTACTTTACAGTACTACTAGCGTACCTTACAGTGCTTATAGCGTACTTTACAGTGCTACTTTACATTGAGGTCGTACTTTACAATATATGGACAATAACAACCATGCTCCTCAAATTCTCAATACAAAACATTACATTTTAGTCATTTAGCAGACGCTCTTATCCAGAGCGACTTACAGGAGCAATTATGGTTAAGTGCCTTGCTTAAGGGCACATCGACAGATTTTTCACCTAGTCGGCTCGGGGATTAGAACCAGCGACCTTTCGGTTACTGGCACAACGCTCTTACCCACTAAGCTACCTGCCGCCTTTTACATCCAGTCACATTCTCTCTTTGTCCTATCAAAGGTTTCTTATACACTACAGTACTATCAGTAGAGCATCAAAATGTCATTAGAAATATATCTGAGCTTGATAAGAAACCGAATTGACAGTGTGGTTACTGGTGTTTCCCACTCTCTCTGTCAGAACTGTGTATATTACTGGACCTTCTCGGCATGGTTGGCTTACTACATCAACCATCCACTGTACACACCTCCATGTAAGTCCTCTAGCATTCAGACCGACCACTCAGTGCCTCCACAAGACTTACAGTCCCTCCTCAACTCCATACGTAGGTGGTGCACCACATCACGACAATAACAATATCACTTCTCTACGGACCGCTCAACAAAAAACATCCAACTAACCGATGGTTTTATGTCTCTCCACAGCGTATGGGGACATGCAAGTGAACTATGCGTTGGCCATATTCGTGGTATGTATTGGGCTGACAGCACCCAATGAGGGTCGTAAACATGAGACATCATTATTACAGATTGCTGCGAAGTGTGTGGAACCGGAAGTGTGAAGGGTGTGGAACCGGAAGTGTGAAGGGTGTGGAACCGGAAGTGTGAAGTGTGTGGAACTGGAAGTGTGAATTGTGTGGAACCGGAAGTGTGAAATGTGTGGAACCGGACGTGTGAAGTGTGTGGAACCGGACGTGTGAAGTGTGTGGAACCGGAAGTGTGAAGTGTGTGGAACCGGAGGTGTGAAGTGTGTGGAACCGGAAGTGTGAAGTGTGTAGAACCGGAAGTGTGAAGTGTGTGGAACCGGAGGTGTGAAGTGTGTGGAACCGGAAGTGTGTGGAACCGGATATATGTTTGTGTTTTGAATGCAGCTCTGTGAGGCTGGGAATTTCTCCATTCACGTGGCCCTCAATAACCTCAAGGCAGAAGGTGGGCCCAAGTGCAGAAAGTTCCCTCACCCGACGAAGAACCCATTCACATGGCTCTTCTTCCTCGTGTCCTGTCCCAACTATACCTATGAGGTAAGGATGAAGGCTATAACCATGTAAATAGAACCTGTCTCTATGGTTACAACATGTTATGACTATATGGCTGTGGTCTATGGGATTTATTTAGGTAGGAGCCTGGGCAAGTTTCTCCGTCATGACCCAGTGTCTTCCAGGTCAGTTGATTCATATCACATTTTATACATTTTCTAATTTCAGGTATATTTGCCATATTTAATGAATACTACTCACTCAAGCATTTATATTTCCTCTACTCGTGTGTTGCACCGTGCTGCCACTAAGGTACAATCTATTATGTATCTGTCTCTCCACAGTGGCCTTGTTCACCTTCTTAGGGTTGATCCAGATGACCACCTGGGCCAAAGGGAAGCATAAAGCCTACACCAGGGAGTTTAAGGACTACCCCCACCTGCGCATGCCAATCCTTCCACTCCTCCTCTGACCACACCGCAAAAGGTTAACCATTCTGACTAAGGAGTATTGGAGGCATCAGCCTGCCTGGAAATGCTGTGGTGATTGGTGGGTTGCTGTGTTCCACACAAAAGCAAGAAGACCCATTGGCTGTTCCTTCATCTAGAGTCATGGCAACGGTCTGTTTTCTTTTTCGACAACCACCAAGGATAGATTGAAATTCACAGAAAAGATTGTGTCATCACAACAATGACTGTTGATGAACTGCTAATGATCTTTTTTTTTTTGTATTGATAATGTTTAATTCAATAATTGAGACGCAGCTGTATTGATGAGTGATTTATATTATTCATTTGACTGATCATGATGATTGATTGACTGTTACAATGCAGCTACTAAAAGATCGGGTGTTGTTGAAATTCTTCTTCAGACAGTGAAAATCATCAGAAACTATGAAGTTTTGAATATATGATTGGAGTTATATATAAATCTACCGTATTATTTTGTAATAAGTTATTGTGCATTTCCTAGAAGAAAAGAGAGTATGTAACTTGTTACGATATATACCTGTTTAGGAAGTCCTCATGGAACAACATTTATTACGGCTGAAATGTAACAGGGATATTTTCAGTTTACAGAGTAGAGAAGGGAAAGTGGAATGTGTTGACTGAGAAGTGTTCTTGAAGCAGAGAAATTGAGCAGACGGTCTAAGTTTTAAAATGGATTATTTTCCCCTCTGCAATGAAGCCGCAGACGTTTGAAAGTAACAAACGACTTGATGAATTAAACGTTGGGAGAAAGTTGAGGCTAATTTAGTAATGCGTTACTTATCTATCGTTCAAACTAACTACAATCTGTCAAATTCTCAGGTGTTACACGGCTGACGTGTAAGAACGTGGGTGACGCAGGAGTCTATTTAACACATGGGTGGCACAACTCGACTTGTAATGAGCGAGGGTGACAGAATACAATGGTTTCAATTCCAGCTATATTTACTTTGCACACTAATAGATGCCAATATTATGAATAAAGTGGGTATTTGTTTCTTGAAACGCTAACAATGGAAGGCTAAGCAGATACTCAACGACATGCTCTTCACGGGTGCAATTTTCATTTTCATTTCATTTTCATTCATTTCTGGTTTGTAATTATCTCATGAGCCTCAAGTCTCTGGCTTGTTAACTAGACTTTCAATAATAAAGTTGAGCGAGAGAGACTAGGTGAGTGTTTACCTGATCTAGTGTGGTCTGATAGTGTAATTACCTGATCTAGTGTGGTCTGATAGAGTAGTTACCTGATCTAGTGTGGTCTGATTGAGTAGTTACCTGATCTAGTGTGGTCTGATAGAGTAGTTACCTGATCTAGTGTGGTCTGATAGAGTAGTTACCTGATCTAGTGTGGTCTGATTGAGTAGTTACCTGATCTAGTGTGGTCTGATAGAGTAGATACCTGATCTAGTGTGGTCTGATTGAGTAGTTACCTGATCTAGTGTGGTCTGATAGAGTAGTTACCTGATCTAGTGTGGTCTGATTGAGTAGTTAACTGATCTAGTGTGGTCTGACAGAGTACTTACCTGATCTAGTGTGGTCTGATAGAGTACTTACCTGATCTAGTGTGGTCTGATAGACAGACACACTGCCTGCTGCTAAGCATTATGGGCAGAGAGAGAGAGAGAGAGAGAGAGAGTGAGTTCATCTGAGATGCTGGGCTGAGACAAAGAGTCTATGGCCCTAATACGTACAGTACATATAAAAAAAAACCTAGGGGCCTCCCGAGTGGCGCAGCGGTCTAAGGCACTGCATTGCAGTGCTAGAGGTGTTACTACAGACCCGGGTTCATTCCCGGGCTGTGCCACAACTGGCCGTGGCTGGGAGTCCCATAGGCGGGTCGGAGGCCGCATGACTCCACCTTTGCCTCTCCCGAGCCCATTGCAGAGATGAGACAAGATTGAAATTGGGGGGATAAAAAATACAATTTTAAAAACTCCACTTAGTTATTTTCTTAAAAGAAGACAAGTGGATGAATTTTAATGAGTTTGACTGCCTGAGGAAGTTGTTATTTACCCTCTTTATCTTAATTTACTTTAACTTTTACTTACCTCCTCCTCCTCGCTCCTCCTCCTCCTCCTCCTCCTCCTCTCTCTTCTCTCTTCTCTCTCCTCCTCCTCCTCCTCCTCTCTCTTCTCTCTTCTCTCTCCTCCTCCTCCTCTCTCTTCTCTCTCCTCCTCCTCCTCCTACATTTACATTTTAGTCATTTAGCAGACGCTCTTATCCAGAGCGACTTACAGGAGCAATTAGAGTTAAGTGCCTTGCTCAAGGGCACATCGACAGATTTTTCACCTAGTCGGCTCGGGGATTAGAACCAGCGACCTTTCGGTTACTGGCACAACGCTCTTAACCACTAAGCTACCTCTCCTCCTCCTCCTCCTCTGTTTTCCCCTTCCCCAGCCTCCCTCATTGGTCCTGGTAATGGCAGACGGAAAACCCTGCATGATGGTTGCCGTGGTGAAGGCTAGCAGGAAGAGGAACAGGATCAGACAGTTGCTGTAGATCAACATCCTGGAAGACAGAATAAAGCATCCATTGGGTTTTGAGTCAGTCCTTATTTATTTTGTTTCACAAACAGGAACATAAAGGGTGACATCACATCCGTTATTATTACACGTTTTGTGGTGGGCAAAAGTTGAACATTTTATTTCCCTAATCTTCCACTAGAGGTCACAACAGTACACTCAAAACTGCAAGCTCAAAAAAGGCTCTGCTCTACGTGGTGTAAAGCAATGTTCATTAAAACCTTTTGCTGCGGTGGGCTAAATCAGGGTCACACAGAGTGTTTCTTGGTAGTCTTAAACAAATCTACTTTGAAACAAAAGTGCACACCTCACACACATGGTTATGGGCTTACAAAAAAGAAGACACCTGTACCATGTCAGATATAGAGTTGAAATGCATTACATTTTGAGTTTGCATCCCAATATTACACTTTATATACATCACAGAAAACTGAAATATAACAAAACTGTTTAATATAGAAACACCAGATTTTTCGGCAGGTAAAAAAAAAAATTATGCTTATTAATTATGAACAATATTAATAACATTCCACCCATGAGGCCACTAGAGGGCAATTTGATCATTTGACTGCAGGAAAGGGGTACTCTTTGACCAACTAGTCATTTTGGTAATTTACAACATGGGGCCAACTAGGACTGACCATGATGATCCCAGTGAGCAGGGTGGTGCTGGCAAACATCACGAGGAAGCTATGAACCAGGTGTACCTCCATCTCTCCCACTCCACCCTCCCTACCTCTTTCCTCCCATCTCTCCACACCATGATGATCCCGGTGGACATGACGGTGCTGGCAGCCATCACGAGGAAGCAGTCTATGAACCATGTGACCCCCCCCCCAGGAGCCCGTTGGTGACCCCATGGCCTTCAGAGTCTCTTTGAGCCTCTGCTCCTTCTCCAGGACAATGCTCTTCACCGTCATAGACACAGAGTAGATCCATGAAGATTGGGAAGCAACAGTTCAACATCAGCATGAAGCTAGGGGAGGCGAGGAGGAAAGAGAGGAAGGAGGAGAGAGAGGAAGGAGGAAAGAGAGGAAGGAAGAGAGAGAGGAAGGATGAGGAGAGAGGAAGGAAGAGAGAGAGGAAGGAGGAGAGAGAGGAAGGAGGAGAGAGAGGGAGAAGAGAGAGGAAGGAGGAAAGGGAGAGGAAGGAGGAGAGGGAGAGGAAGGAGGAGAGGGAGAGGAAGGAGGAGAGAGAGGAAGGAGGAAAGGGAGAGGATAGGGGGAAGAGGAAAGGGAGGAAAGAGAGAGAGGATTGCAAAATGAGGGGGAAATGAATGAGGAATGACAATCATACACTGCCATCTCTAAAAGTAACCATAACCACAGCAGGTCTTTTCTTGGTATTTATGTATTAGTGTAGCTGGAGGTATTTTGCTGTCAAACCTGTCTCATCTCCTCTGACACCTCACCACCAGGCCTCCTATTGGCCAGTCTCATCTCCTCTGACACCTCACCACCAGGCCTCCTATTGGCCAGTCTCATCTCCTCTGACACCTCACCACCAGGCCTCCTATTGGCCAGTCTCATCTCCTCTGACACCTCACCACCAGGCCTCCTATTGGCCAGTCTCATCTCCTCTGACACCTCACCACCAGGCCTCCTATTGGCCAGTCTCATCTCCTCTGACACCTCACCACCAGGCCTCCTATTGGCCAGTCTCATCTCCTCTGACACCTCACCACCAGGCCTCCTATTGCAGCCACAGCATGTCTGATTGAGCCACCACGTAGGCTATGTGTAAGGCCCAGGGTGGAACAACTGAGATGAACACAACCACCAACACACACACATTCTCTTGATAAGACTGCATAAAATATCACACACACACACACACACACACTAATTAGTTGGCAAAGCATCACCCCTACAGTACATCGTAGCATCCAATGACACATTTTTTGCTACGCTCTTCAATCAGCTTCTCCCAATCCTGTGCTGTACAGCAGCCAATGGGATTCCATAGACCGCGTTCATTGTGGCGGAGCTGAAAGAGAGGGTGGTCAGATTGACAGCTGTAGCTAATCTACTTCTGTCACACTGAAGTGCTGTTAGCCTCACAGGAGACAAAGACAGAGAGGGCATGCGATCCACACAGTGAGGAACAGGGTGCACTCCTTCTACCCCTTTCTACTACCCCCGGGGGGGGGGGCCTCACCCACTCACCCTGATTAGTATCGGGGGGGCGAGGGGAGAGCTATACGGTTTGGCCCACTCAGATGGAGGGTCCTAGGAGAGACAGTGAAGGGGTAGAAAAGAGACGGACAGCTTTGTGTGTTGTTCTCCCACTTCCCCTCCTGAGCAGATTAACATGTCTTTTGTAGGGGGCAAATTAGAAGGCCATTGGAAGGACATACAGCGATAGTATGCTCATATCACATAGAGGGTGTTCTTGTCTGGTACTCATTCATATCTATGGAAAGAAACAAGCAACAGTTCTGAGGACTGTGCTCGATATTT